AGGTCCGGGCCCAGTATGGATCCTTGAGCAGCACCAGAAGTTACATCCATCGTCCTGGAGCCTTCTGTAGTGTCGTAAATGATGAGGCGGTACCGGAGGTAGTCCTCTATCATGCGCATGAGGTATGCCGGGACGTGGAAAGTGTTCTCCAGTGCGTCCAGCATATCGCACCACCTCGCGGAATTAAATTCGTTTCGCACATCAAGTGTTACAAGCAGCACAACCCGACGAGAATAGTTGTTAAACTCCTCAGCTCTCATTACGGCTCGCTTTACCTCCTCAATAGCGTCAACCGTTGACCGTCCCTTCCTGAAGCCGTACTGACGAGGGGATAGATTCCCTGCAGCAACCACACGGCTGAATTCAGTCGGGAACGGATCAACTTTTCCAAGACTTTCCCAGCAGTGTCCAACATACAGAGAGGTCTGTAAGAGGAGGGTAGGTCTGGGTTTCCTTTTCCATTCCCCACGAGCACAAGCCTAGCTGTTTTCCAGCAGAAGGGAAACTTCCCCTCGGCCAGACAGGCATTGTACGTGCTCAAAAGGATTTGTGGATTTATTGAAAAGACTTTCTTCAGGGCCTCACCAGGTACCCCATCCGGTCCAGGAGCCTTGTTGTTCTTCAGGGATAGAACGGCCGCCTCCAACTCCTCGAGACTGAAAAGCGGTACGTCGTCCAACCTTCCGAACTCCCGCAATGGGCGCAGTGTGTGAGTCGGGAAAAGGGACTTTACGATCCTCTCCATAGAGGCCCCGTCCATAACGGAAGGTGGAGAGCGGGTGCCAAGCTTCTTGGTTACTATCTTGTAACCAAGGCCCCACGGATCGGAATCGACATCGTCCCTTAATTTCTCCCAGCAACTGCGTTTGCTCCGGTTAATGGCCCGGCGAAGAGACTTCCTAGCCACCTTGTAAGCGTCACACTTAAGACGTCTATCTTCAGGTTCTCTGGCCCTGGTAGCAAGACGTCTGGCTCTCAAAGCTGCCCGTCGTAGTTCTGCGATCTCGGTTGTCCACCAGTACACAGGTCGCTTATCGCACCGGGATCTCCTGCAAGGCATTGACTCTTCGCAGGCCGAGACTATCAGCCTCATCAATGATGTAACTGATGTCTCTGCGTGAGCCACGCCAGATGCAGCAGGTACCACTGGCTCTCCCCGTAGTATGACTTCGGTGAATTTGGCCACGTCCAGCTTTTTGGTGTTCCACCGAACGGGCACCTGCCGAGACACGGTAGCTTGTCTCTGATGACTATCCAGGACATCAAAAATGATGTACTGGTGGTCACTGGCCGTATAATCCTCTAGGACTCTCCAGGCTCGTATCCTCGGCAAGAGGGACTCAGATGCAAGCGTGATGTCTGGGATCGTTCCCCTCATTCCGGGACGCTGGAAAGTTGGCGTGTTGCCCTCGTTTATGACAACAAGTCCAGCCCTGGCAGCAAAGTCCAGGATGTACTTCCCCCGGGAATTAGTGAGAGTCATTCCCTACTCGACAGCCCTAGCATTGAAATCCCCCGCCACGACAACGTGCCCGGCGGTATCGCGCACTCTCTCTTCCAGGCGATCTATCTTTCCACGAAAGTCACGGATAGCCTCGTTGGGGGTGAGGTATACACTAAAGTAAGTGACATCCCCGCACCGGACCCAAACGAATCCTCGGCCCTTCGCGTGACTCCTCACCTGCACTTTAGCTGTATTACGAACCCAGAACGCAGCAGTACCAAGTGTATCGGGAAACCAAAGAGATGGGTCCCTGTCCCGGTACTGGTACTGTTCGCTGACCAAGAGCGCGTCAACACCTTGTTCGAGGGCAAGCTGACTGAGAAGCGCGTCAGCCGTCCTGGATCGATCTACATTGAACTGGAGGATCCTTATCTTCGTGGTTGGGCTTTCGCTTGTTGTAGTGCGCCTTTAAATGCATTGCACTGCCCAGACCCAGCTATATGTTTAGCGTTTTTATCATTGAGGCCTTTCTCCTTACAGAGGAAACAGGTCTCGACTTTACAGTCCCTACGAGTGTGACCCACCTCCCCGCATCGAAGGCAGTTCTTGCCTCGGTCGGGCCCTTCGCAGTTTCGGGAGGAATGGCCGAAATCAAGGCATTTAAAACACCTCGTTACTTCCACCCTCCGTCTCAACCTGCAATTTACCCATCCAACCCTCAAATGCTGGAGTGCCAAAACCTTACTGGCGTTTGCGTATGCCATTTCGGCGACCGCCATCCGCTGTTGACTCCGGTTTGGTTTCGTGAGCCACACCCTCAGACTAGCCGTTTGTCCGGCAAGCTCGGGGACAGCTTTTTTTAGGGCATCAATGACGTCATCCTCCGTTGACACACAATCCATATCCCGAACCTCGACGGACGTCTTGGGTTCGAGAGCACGAACGGTGCCCTGACCTTCCACAGCTGCCTTTAGTTCGGCAGCAAAGGCGGCTTTATCTTTAGACTTACCCAGTTCGAGGAGGACGTTCCCGTCCCGGGTTTGTCTAATCGACCGTACAACCGTGTCGGTTTGCTCTGGCTTAGCCTTGGCCTTGATAACACCCAAGACTTCGGCGAATGATCTTCCCTCCAAAGGCTTGACCAAAATTGCCTCAGTCCTGGGCCTTTTGCGCCGCGACTTTTTAGAAGCGAGTGTCGAGCCAGGCACAGCTTGGGCCACGCCGGTCGACTGCACCCTCACTGCCACATATGTCTTGGAGCCGACTTCCGCGTGCCTCAATTTCCTCTTCTCCTTTTTCATAAGGCGCTTTTCCCACACAGTCCCAGATGGGGTTTCTACGACTGACCCCTTTCGGGAGCCACCCTCAATGGGTGTCGCAGGTTGCTGTGGTTGTTGAGGTTTCGCTGGAGCGGCAACTACGTCAGAGAAGGACCTAGAAGTCTGGGTCGCCTTGACCTTAACTTTAGGCTTTGCTGTCTGAACAACCTCTTCTCTTTTTGGAGGGCTTTCTGATGTAGGCCTCCTGCGTTTCTTGGAAGGTCGCGCATTGTCGTCAGGTAGGGACACCACCTTCTCGGCGATCCTTTCCATGGCCGCCTTGCTCACCAGCCGGCAGGCGAAGACAAAACCAAGGTCGTCCTCGAGCTTAGCCATACCATTTTTAACCACTTGGTTAACTCCTCTCTGCGTCTTAAAGGTTTCAAGCATTGCCTTTATGGTCTGCTCCATGTTTCGAAGCCGGTTTTCAATGTCATTTTCTGCGTCAAGATATTGCTGACGCAGAAGTACCATTCCCGACACTTCCAAATCTAACGCTGCTGTTAGGGGTTCCTCCGGCATCCCTTCACCAGACTTAGAGGGTGGTCCACCGTTTCCTTCTCCACTTGTCAAGGGAGATCCCAAAGTCAAGTCTTTTGTACACCTGAAAGTTGCAGGTGGCGGGGACGTCTTCACGCCTTTCAATGTTGGCGATCTCTGGACCTTGGAGCTTCGCCCAAAAGGGTCTCGCTCTACTTCCGACTTCTTTTCTTGCTCATTTGAGCTACTTATCAAAGATGTGTTCAGGGTATTTGTTTTAAAAGCCATCTTGTGTTTACCAGCGCATCGTGCGGCAAGGGGCGGCCCGGAATAGTCAGGAACGGGTATACCCTCGGGGACATGCGCCCCTACCCCAGTTCCCCGAGGCCCAACCTCCGTTTTCTCAGCACCGGATACCTGACGTGCCGGGGGTCACCCGTCACAATGTAGAGCCCGACCTCTACATCCATGCCGCACTCCCTGACCAAGGACCGAAGTGGCTGGCTTCTCACGACTCACTGAGAATACCCATCGGCAGTGCAGAGCACACATCAACCCCTGCAAACACAACAGGGGCACTCCCAGGGACTCCCAGTGAGAGCGTCGGTCACCCTTTTAGTCGCCTCTTACGACAAGCCCGGGAAGGCTGCGGTTCTATTCTAACCCCGAAACCGCAGGGGGGGAACATAACCCACAGTTATGTTGGTCCATATTAAACGAATAATTTTAATTGGAGTCATTTGTTGTAAATAAATAAAAATGCTTTCATTTGGATTTGGCTAACGATTCTCTGACTAATCAGATTTTCAAAACTATTCCAAAATAAGAGAATAGCATTATTTCCTTCTAAGGAAATGATTGAGAAGCGAACCCTACAAACATACAGTACCAAACAAACACTATCCAGGGTTATAGTCTAACAATATAATGAATTTCGCACAAACATTCAATCAAGCAGGGGTAAGTGAAAATTTCTCTAAAACATAGTACATTATCACAGTTGTGCTGCTTTATATTCAGTACAAATACTTTTAACATCTATTTTCTTCTCACCTTGGACTTGAAGGTGTAGGGCGGGATAAACTTGAATGAGTTCGTGAACCAGCATGATCGGACTATATAAACGGGGTGTTATAGGGGGTTTTATGGGGTATAAATTGGGGTTTCTCATTTTTACCCTCAAAACATAATATTAACCAAATTACTCTCTCGCGTTTTTTCACGGTTATTGGTTACAATGAAAATTTAATAAATGGTAAATTTAATATTTCCATGTTTTTCTTATGGGGAATAAGTAAACTATTACAGTTTGCTTATTTATGGATAAATATTAATCAAACTTGGCAAATGTATCTATTTTATACTAAGCTATTCATATTTTACTGAAAAACGCGCTTTATTACCCTCCCTGTAGCAGCAAACCTAGGTACAGTACTTGTTAAATCTAAATTTTATTTAGATTTAATAGAAAATCCAATCAGGTAAATGGAAATGTGCTTAGTCCGCAGGTTTGCTGCGGCGGGGTTATTTATTTGAGTCCCATGTCTTGACAACGGTGTCGTTTGAATCGATTTATTTTGGAATGCAACATTCTTGACTAGATTGTTCACCCAGCTAGATATCGATAGTAGCACTGCTCTACGTATCGAAACTAAATATCGATATCGCGCGTCTTATTGTTGAGTAGTCGTGGTCGATATCGCATTCGCATCCCCGCACACCACACACCACTACCACTACAACAGTGCTGGCCCCGCTCCCGCTACCTCACGGTAAGTCACAATCCTTGTCTCATTTGTAGCATGAAAATATCGCACAGCTTAGGCCTGAGTTCATTTTTTCAACAACTTCGATTAACTTTACTGTGATTAAAACTCTCAGAAGTTCCACTTTTATTATAAATTAATAGTTAAGATTTACTTGCTCATGTATTTGTTGTATATAAAACAAACTCAAACTTTTTATGTAAGTTGTCGTACATTTGAAATATTGTAGTCGAACTAATTCATTTATACTTTTATAACGATTTCGGCATTTAATGTTACCCTAACCATTAACAGTAAATTATTGATGATTCTTAAACAATCCTTAAATTTCAGAAAAGGACTACAATTTATACAATCATATTCAACCCGGTTATGAGTTATTGAAAAAAAAACACAACAAAGTTGTGATTATAAAACAAAATTTTTGCTCCTGCTGTTTAACAAGGAATTATTACAGTATTTCCAACGGTAGTCATGAGGCCTACAGTAAGCGTAAACTTTGATATTTCATGAAAGTCGATCCGCGCCTCGTTACTGTTGTCACTGCGCGTTCTGCAGCTTTCTTACATTTATTTTATTTGTAACTTCAACATCAAGTTTTCAACATCCATCCGTTCTAAAAATATAAAAATGTCGATTATTTAACAATTTGGTTGTTGAAGATTTTAGTTTCACTCAAAACAATGTTCAAAAATATTTGACGTAATTTAACAAAAATATCGAAGTTCTTAAATGTAAGATAAATACAGGATTTATAAGTAAATATAGACATTATAATTGCCAAGGTCATTTATTTTGAAAAGCGATTTTCGTTAAGTAAAATTTATTCAAACATGTATTTTGGTTTCAAGTCGTTCGCCAAAGTTATCAACTGAAAGGGAATATTGTTTTTGTAGAAAATTAAAACCTATGTTCAACACCATTGTGTATGGGGTTCAACAATGGGTATCCCCTAACAAGTTCAAATTATCACCAAACGCTATAAATAAAAGGCGGTTGTTTTACATATTATTATTCTTCAATCACCTTCGTGCCTTCTTAATAAGGTTAGGTACCTGAATGAAACTCACGTATCACGTATTAAAGCTAAGTAAAAACAAAAAAATATATATCGAAATAAATAAAAAAAACAAATGCTATGTAGCATTAAAGCTTTGGGACAGTTAAAATTATATGAATAAACTCGAGAGAATTCGAGTTTTGACCTTGGTTATTAGGTTGTAAACTAAATTGTGATATAAGAATTGTTCCTGTGCTTTATTTTTCTCGAAATTTATCAGCGGTAATATTTTTCCTACGGGACTTAATAATGTAAGTATTATCATGATTATTAAGCATTTAGGTTTGGCTATGCCGGTTTAAAATAATACTATTTTATAAAAAAATATGTTTATCCTTGCTTAGATACTGTACTAGGGAAAATATCCCATGTGAGACGGTATTGGCGTTGACTTTAATTGCTTTGAAAATATATGATTGGCTAAAATAAACTATAGTTATTCGTACTAATTCAAGGATATTTACTAAACGTTTTGATCTATCTATACCGATTTTCAACAAAATAAATTGTTGTAAAAAGTGCCACTATTATTTAAATACAGGTAGGTATTTATTGGTCATTGTTTGGTAGCCAACTGAAGTTAAGAGGGTTCTCTAATCAATAGAGATAATGACCAATAAACACAAATATTGCATTTGTTGGAAAACAATTCATAGAATACGCTTCAGAATGGTTATGTTACAGCCACTGCGACTACAGTAAAACAACGGTTTGTCCATATCACTTGAGAGGTTAAACACAGTGATCGCTATGCTTTGCATCAAATATAATATAAAAAGGTTAAATTGATCCTACTTTTCAAATAGTATGGATATTATAGTTCTGTATTAATTATTTAACAATTAAATGGGCACAATCACAACTAATCATTTGTCAAGACGCGGGAGAAAAAGGTACGAAATCAGGACGGGTGGCAACCTATTCAGTACTACCAACAAACCTTAATGGTTCCAACACAGTCCATTACCAGCCGGTAACAAAGCAATTTCTGTATAAGTTCGAAATTTTATTTTATTCGTTTGAATCTTCCCAACACACTTTAAAAAAATATTTCAATTGATTAAACTTACTGTTATTTCAAACGCACTTGGTGAGTTTGACCATTTGTTGAACTGTGGACGATAAGTTATGTACCTTTATTAATAGTCTAATTAAACAGTTTAGGGGCTACTTAATGAATTTTAATTTTAAGATATTAACATTGACTATTGAATACAGAAGATATTAATAGAACATTAGGTGTATGATTTTCTCTGACATGATAAACTTAACTAACTATTGAATGGTACTTTATTTGAGGCAATGCGTTATCATGATAAGTTTGTGTACTTTAAATAACTTCCTTTTTTACCTGTAATTTCTAAATATAGCGGTTGTCAACCACTCGTGGCCAGGACACAGAGAAAGAGATGGTTTTTGCAAGACCTGACTGAATACAAGTTGAAGGATCAGGCAGTAGTTATGTGACAGTAATAGCTACTGCCATTGCTACGACCCTGCTTTGTGATAAATTACCGGCTTGTTATGGTACGAGTGTACAGTGTACAGTGTACAGAGTGTGTGTATCCCTACAGTAAAGTGTCTCGTCCGGCGAGGGTTCCTAAACAAGTACAATCATAGGCCTACAGGTCTAACAAACATTGTTGCATATTCTTCTGTAAATAATGTTTTGTTATACGAAAATAGAAAATGATAAGATACATGGGTAAGATGCAGTGGTAGGGGTTATGCCAGGGTTATTCTTTTCATTTTGTGATTTTTGGCATTTTATTCTTTGTTCATCGAGCGAAGCGAGCGAAGCTCTTATACATCGACTTTTATGCATTTCGTAATACGCAAACTCCTCCTAGACGGCTGAATCAATCGTTTTCAAATTTTGCATGGCGATAAAGACCATATCGGTGAGTGCCAACATCTATATGGCGTTAAAAAAGTCTCTCAGGAATCCGCCCCACTGGGTCTCAAAGTTTCAATGTTATCCAAATGAAATCAGTATTTGACACATAAACAAAGACATATGATCAGCTGTTGACTTTTGAATGCAGTAGATAAATAAATAGCTGATAGCATTATTCCACAGATATTAGAACATAAACGGTGGTATGGATCATAAATATAATCAAATGACGACACTAGCTTGAGGTCAGTGACGTAGGAAGTGGCGAAGGAAGTAGTAAAGGTGAGCAGTCTGGAGTGTGGAAACTGTTTAAGACGATTAGATTTAGGTAGGTATCTGCATTCCTAAAATTCTATGGGAAGGGAGGAAAACGGGTCCGTGACGTAGGAAGTGGTGAAGGAAGTAGTCAAGACGAGCTGCCTGGAGTGTGGGAACTGTTTATGACGATTAGATTAAGGTATCTGCATTCCTAAAATTCTATAAGAAGGGACGAAAACAGGTCCGCGACGTAGGAAGTGGTGAAGGAAGTAGTCAAGGTGAGCTGTCCGGAGTGTGGAGAAACTGTTTATGACGATTAGATTTAGGTATCTGCATTCCTAAAATTCTATTGGAAGGGAGGAAAACGGGTCCACGACATAGGAAGTGGTGAAGGAAGTAGTCAAGGCGAGCTGTCCGGAGAGTGGGAACTGTTTATGACAATTAGATTAAGCTATCTGCAATCCTAAAATGCTATTGGAAGGGAAGGAAACAGGTCCGCGACGTGGGAAGTGGTGAAGGAAGTAGTAAAGGCGAGCTGTTCGGGGTATGGGATCTGTTTATGACCATTAGATTAAGGTTTTTGCAATCCTAAAATGCTATGGGAAGGGAGGAAAACAGGTCCGCGACGTGGGAAGTGGTGAAGGAAATAGTCAAGGCGAGCTGTCCGGAGTGTGGAAACTGTTCATGACTATTAGATTAAGGTATCTATACAATCCTAAAATGCCATGTGACGGGAGGAAAACAGGTCCGCGACGTGGGAAGTGGTGAAGGAAGTAGTCAAGGCAAGCTGTGCGGATTGTGGAAACTGTTTATGACTATTAGATTAAGGTATTTGCATTCCAATAATGCTAAGGGAAGGGAAGTAAAGAAATCCGTGACGTAGGAAGTGATGAAGAAAGCAGTAAAGGCGAGTTTTTTGGAGTTTGGTAACTGTTTATGACGATTAGATTAAGGTATCCCCAATCCTAAAATGCTATGGGAAGGGAGGTAAACAGGTCCGTGACGTAGGAAGAGATGAATTAAGTGGTAAAGGCGAGTTTTTCGGAGTGTGGGAACTGTTTATGACGATTAGATTATGGTATCTTGGTATCTACAATCTTAAAATTCTATGGGAAGAGAGGGAAACATGTCTGCGACGTAAGAAGAGGCGAAGGAAGTAGTAAGATGAGCAGTGTGGAGTTTGGGAACTGGAAACCGTTTGTAGCAGTTAGATTAATGTATCTGCAATGCTGAAATGCTATGATAAGGGATGGAAGCATGCCCACGACATAGAAAATGGGGAAAGAAGTAGTAAAGGCTAGCAGTGCGGAGTGTGGGCAATGTTTGTGGCAATTAGATTAACGTATCTAAATTCCTAAAATGTTATGGAAAGTGATGAAAACAGGTCCACGATGTAGGAAGTGGCTTAGGAAGTAGGTATGAACATATGTTGAGAACCGTCTGTGGCAGTTAGATTAATGTATCTTCAATCATAAAATGCTATGAGAAGGGAGGATAACATCCCCCACGACGTAGGAAGTAGTAAAGGCTGGCAGTGCAGAGTGAGGGAACCGTTTGGGCAGTTAGATAAATGTATCTAATACTTAAATGCTGTGAGAAGGGAAGGAAACATGTCTATGACGTAGGAAATGGTGAAGGAATTAGTAAGGCTTGCAGTGCAGAGTGTGGAAACTGTCTTTGGCAATTACATTAATGTATCTGCAATCCTAAAATGCTATGGTAAGAGACGGAAACAGGTCCACGACGTAGGGGGTGGTGAAGGAAGTAGTAAAGGTGGGCAGTGTTGAGTGT